CTTTGCAAGTTCAAAGGAGCAACCCGATTCTAATTCCGACTCCAAGACAAATATTGAACCTTATCGTTACTCCCACTCATACCCCATCATTAAAGTACAATAAGTCTCCATCATCATCTTTCGGGTACTTGCTCGAGTATGAATAATTGCCTTCTTCGTCTAGTTTGCACACCGAGTAATCATTCCCTACCATATCCGGAGTTTTCTAAGTAGAACAGTTTTTCATGCATTTTGCATGATAAGGCTAGTTAAGGCTCAAAAATCGATTTTTTATATAATTTTCTATAGTTTGCTCGTTAAAACTCAAGATCAGTTTGTTAAGGCTCAAACTCGACTCGTTATTAGTGAAAAACGAGCCTACCTCGAGCTTGATTTCAGGCTTGTTTATTTAACGAGCTCGAGTACCCTAAGCTCGAGCTCTGGTCAACTTGTTTAAAGGAAAAAAAAAACTAAAATTGTTACTCGCATCATGAGGCTCGAGACCAAGATTCCACATTAGCCACCTCATATTTCGGTATACACTCGAGTCGTGTACTACCCCTCCTCATTTGCCTCATCCTATGACCAAGCCTGAAATTCTTGCTCAACAATATCGGGCTGCCCAAGAAGCTACCCGTTGTGTAAACCTCCATAGCCCGGAAGATCCCAATGCACGGAAAACTGCCCAGCTCGGGCTCGCACCTTAAGGCCCACCCGGGACCCACCATACCACGGCTCGTCTCGAAAGCTCCCGAAAACCATCGTGCGTCGTCGAGCTGACCCTTTCGCTGCATATGACGGTCGTGACATGCGGCGACAGGGCCTAGTTTTCATGGACGGCGACGACAAAGGCAAGCGCGAGGAGGCTGCCTTCGCTGGAGGATATCGTGTCCGACACGATTGGGTTTACTACCATAGGTTCAACACCACACGCCAGCCACATAAGTGCATCGGTTTGGAGGGCGAAGCCGTCCAAATCGGGAAAAAATGGTGTAGACGTATCTATTATTATTATTATTATTATTTATATTACTATTATTATTATTTAATATGTACATTGTAGAATAAATTCAGAAATTAAAATTATTATTTAATATTTAGTAAGAAATCTTGTCTTGTTGGACAAGTTACAAATAGGGTTTAGGGCCTTATATAAAGGACTCCGTCTAGTTTATTTTGTTTCGTGAATTATGGGATGAAAAGATGAAATGATTCGTGTTTAGATGTTCTTGAGATTTATCATAGTCTCACTCGTATGCTTCCCTACATATTTATCAACACTAAAGAGTTGAGTTCAAGTCTTAACAAGTATAAACCTTCAAAAATTATATAAAGATTCCTCTTTTTGAGTCTTTGCATCTCAAGTCGAGTTGAGTCTGACTCGTTAACTAAATGAAAAGGTAGCATGCCTAATCGTTTGATAGTAGTAAAACATATATTTAAATTGAGATTTCATACTCTAAAGTATAAATAAAAGTATAACATTTCATAGCGGTTAACTGATTGGGTAAGTAGATATCAAATTATAATAGTTGAATTGACTCATAGATTGTGTTAACAATTTGTAAATGAGTGTCCCACATTTAACGATTTGTATAACTATTTGTAAATTTTATATTAATGCATTTTTCTGTTAATCATCTCTACCCAAAACATTGATCTATTGATGTTATTCTTTTCATCGATTTAGAGTTTTGCATTAAAATTTGCTAAGCAAATAATTGTTTTTGCCAAATAACATACTTAGCGGATTTGACGGGTCAAATCTTTAGATGAAATATAGTCAGCTACTTTAACATCTGCTAATCCGAAAGAGTCCAACAAAAATAACATAAAAATATGATAGTGAAATACAAACACGATAGTAGCCTACAAACCAAAACAACTCTAATACCACCCCAACATATATTGGGCCAATTTCCGACCGAACCAATAAATAAAAAAATAAAAAAAAAAAATTGAAAAAAAAATCACGAACCGCCACTTTTAGTTCCGAAACGGTACCGATGGAATTGTGAGAAATCATGAACTTGAACAAGCCCAGATACAACCATGAGTCGGTTCAAAGCCCGTGGTCAATGGGCATGTAAGTGAAAATGTCTATTTATTATAGAACACTTGTTTTATGGGCCGGGTCGAAAAAACACTACCTTGCCTTGAGCATCTAAATACGACTTTCTAACGGGGGAGACAAAGGACCAAAAAAACGTTTTTTGTACTTCCATTTTCAATTTACAAATTCAGCTGCTGGGGGGAGCTCACCGCCTCTGCAACTGCGAAGATCGAAAATGGCTGCCATCTTAGCTCGCAAATCCCTTTCTGCCCTTCGTGCTGGCCAGCTCGTAAGATTAACATATTCATCGTATCAATATCTTTTTTATTCTTGTAAAATTTTCATAATCAATGGCCTTTTTCCTCCCTTTAATTTCAGTTTTACATATTTTGGGGATCTTTACGCGATTGGAAAGCACCCAATTCAGTAATTCAATTAATTTACCAAGGGTTTATGGTTTAGGAGTTGTTTATGCTCTTTTGCGTTATTTGTGTTTGGAGTTTGGATCAAATTGGATCTAATTTGGCTACGAGGGTTAGCACTGTTGTTTGATTGATTCATTGTTTCAGCCAAATAACCTTATCTATTTTGTAAATTCGTACTTGTTTGATTATGTCATTTCGCAATATATCTCCGATGGACACTGTTGAAGCCCTCGCTTTGATTATGCAAGATGAAACTGCTATATTTTTGTTTTCTTAACTTATTACATGGATTATTCGGTAGTCTAGTGGATATCAAAGTTCATGTTCAGTCATGCTTTGGCAAATTTTTTTTCTTTCCTGTGTGTGCGATAGGCTCTGGCAGGGAAAGCTATGTGGGATCCTGCTCGTGGTGGGATGATACGATGTGAGCGCATATTTTCCACGAAACATTCGTTTTCTACGGTCAAAGGTTTGTCACATGCTCTTGCGATTTTTCATCTTCTAATTGTCTGATTCAAGGGAACGGAAATTAGTTGTGAGTTTTAATATTGTACTAGCAGAAGTGGTTAGTTTGCTCTGATTCTTTGTACAAGCTTGCAAGTTAGAGATCAACTATTCGTAACTTTGTATCATTGTTATGTATGGAAGGCCAATGGGAGGTTGTATTTTTTGTCTTTTTGGGAAGCTTTATTGCTCTAGTAATTATTTTGATCTTTTGAGGAAACTGTTAAGGGTTGATCGTGTTTTAGAAATTTGGAATTTCGTCCCTTTGCTGTTGTATTTGCCTTGATCTCGTCCAAATTGACCATGCTCGACATTTCCTATATATTATGGTTGAAATAATTAGATGGGCATTATGGTTGCATTTTATATGTGTACCAATATAATGACCAAGTCTTTTGGTAACATGCATACGAATTGCAATATCCTAGTTAAACTAAATTATATTTTGCATATTAGATATTGAAAGATTTCTAGGATTTTAACCTTCCTTGTATAGGTAATAACATGGTCCTTGTTTACTTGTAGATGATGAAGAAAGAGAAAAGCTTGCAAGGGAGATATCAAAGGATTGGAGCTCGGGTAAAAGAGTTTCCCGATTTATTCTTTTACAATAGAATTCAATTCTGTGTTTTTTTCTTTAACGTTGAAACTCATCCTCTAATGTCCATTGCAAATGGAGCTGGAAGAGTCATTGTTGCATAGTGCTAATAATGGACTAGATCAAAATGGCTCAATTAAATTCTAGTGCTTCTTCTATTAGTGAAGTCTCTAGAAAAAAAAAATATACCAAACAATACAATGCACCTTGGTACGCTACGGAAACAGCCTCCTTGTATAATTACAAGGGTAAGGTCTGCCTACAACTGACCCCCCAGACCCCAACCCATTTGGGGATATACTGGGTATGGTGTTGTTGTTGTTGTTGTTGTTGAAACTCATCCTCCATTTGTTACTTGTAGATTGGGTCTCGATGATACCAAGCGCGGGGAGAAAAGCGGGTTGTGCCGTTGGAGGTCTCCGTCGGCTGGCCCATGTCGTGGCTCGACCGCCGCCGCTCTCGATCGCCATCGACCCTTACATCAATACCTCACTACCGCCGTTGATTTTCCCGGAAGATTATGACGACAAAGACGTGAGGGATGAGTTACCTTTTTTCCCATTTCCTGGTGGTGCCATGGAACTCATGGCTGTCCCCAAGAAAAAGGCGAGCTTTTATTTTTTTAATTATTTGACAATTTGTTTTGAAGATTTTAGCTTTCAGGTGATTGCTATCTTGCTGCTTCTGGTGCACTGTTCTGACAATTATTATTATTATTATTATTATTATTATTATTATTATTATTATTATTATTTTGTGTTTCTTTTCTTTTTTGTTGTCTTTCGTTCTTCATTGGGGGCTGTTCTTAGGGCTCATCTAGGGATTTGAAGATTAGGGTGAAAGGGCTTAGATAAGAAGTATATGTTAGATAATTGGTATCATCGAATTTTGTTGTGGCTGTCTAATTGTATGGATATACAACCGGTTTTAAATATCTTTGAGTGGGGTTAGGCAAAATGAAGCTCCTGAAATGATACCATTGATTTTCATTTGTTTCTTTTTGTTTATTTAATCTGCTAACCTATATATTCTTGTAAAATCTGTTTGTTGGTTTAGGCAAATAAGCTTGTTGGTTCTCTTCCCCTTTTCAAGTTAGGAAACTTCTATGTTTGTAATCCGTTCTGATCCGATTTTTCGTCTTCTTCGAGTTTGTATAATGAATTCTTTATTACTTATTTGGAAATTCCCATTTCAAAATTTTCATTCTTTAAGTCATTCCTCGATGGCCTGTCGAGTTGGTTGGGATGAAGCAATTCCAACATATATCATTGCCACCTACCAAGCCTTTTGGGAATTGAAGTTCAGATATTGCTACATTTGTTTTTTCTTTTAACAATTATAAATTGGTTTAGCCGATGCTTTTGTGCTGTATGTTTTTTTTCTGGCTCAAATGACTGTTAGTTACTGACTGTTAGTTACCTGAAGGCGATGTTTCCTGCAGGTTAGTAAACACAAGAGAGGTATTAGAAATGGACCAAAGGCTTTGAAACATGTCCCAGTAATCATCCGTTGCACGTAAGTCTTTATTTCTTCTGAAAGTTTGAAGCTCAACATATATATATATATATATATATATATATATATATATATATATATTGACCATTGTTAAATTAATCACTTGAACAATCCAATTAACTAGAAAATGATTTATGAGGAAAGGAGTATGCATTTTGAATGAAAGTTTGGGTTTCTTCATCATTGAAGAGCATGAAACTTATGAAGCGACTCAACAAAACTTTTATGATTCTGAATGGTGTAACTGACTCGACTCCAGTTTAAGAATTATGGTTTAATCATTTACTTATATTCTCTATTTTTTGGGTGAAGTAGTGAGGAATCCTGTGTGTATTGTAGATTTTAATTTGTGTTAAAATGCATGTATCAGCTCAGTTCCTGGTTTGAAAGCATGAGAGTAAGCTGTTATTCTCGGGGAAGGGGCAAAAATATAATTAAATAAAAACAGTTTCATCCTCATAATTCAAGTTAGTGATTTGTCTCTTATGCTATGGTAAACTATTTACACACCCCGCCTTTTTGCTATCTTGTTAGGGTTTGTGGTCGGGTCAAGCTGCCGCACTTCTTCTGTTGCAGTGGGATCAAACAAAATCCTGATGGTAGTAATTAAACACTTATTTTCTTGTGCCCCATCAGTTTTAGTTATGAAGTTAAGCAGGTGTATTGGGCATGCCTTATATTCTGCTTTGTGTCCAGTTAGTCCTGGGCTCACTTAAAGGAGCGCAATTTTTTAATTTTTTGGGCAGGGCTCACTCAGAAATCAGATTTTAAGGCTGTTTGTAAATTATGCTTTTGGTCTATGTACATCACATAAAACTAGTTTTTGGTGGAGGAAAAACTGGGTTTCATCTAGGGATGGGCACCGAATTTTCCGGTCCCAGACATTATATTTATAATAATGTTATACATTATTATTATTATATCCTCCCTATATATAATTCTCGAATGCGCTGAGCCTACGTGGCTGCTTCTGGTGCTTCGGAATCTTACTTGACAAAGAATCATGCTTTGTAGTTAGATTTGGACAATTAATATTATATATCAATAATTAATAATCTAGGTTCGGGCATTCCATAAATATTATTTAGTTTAACTTATGTATTTTAATATCAATTGTATTAATATACCCTTTAATTCTTTGTAATTTTAGATAGTGAATCACTAAGTGACTAATATATCCCTGAATTTTGATTTGTTTCCTAAAATTAGCTATTGAATTGTAAATGTATTTTAAAAGTTGATAACTTTTATATTTTTTATCGGTTTTACGTATATAATATATTAAATTAATTATCTTTTGATGATCTTCGATTTGACATCCATATTGTATATATGAAGTAAATAAATTATAATTATCTTTATAATAATAAAAAAATAATAATATTTACTAAAATTCATTAGAATAATAAAATTGTTTCTCAATTGATATATTTATGTTTAATGTAGTTATATGTTGTACGTTAAAAAATTATTATAATATAACACAAGTAAATCGCACAAATAAAAAGTGTCATACTAAATATAATAATATAAATATTTTTAAAAGGTATTTAAATTTTCAACTACCATTTCTCAGTAATTTTAGATTTTAAGAAAAAAATAGCAAACTTCATGTTTCATTGTTTGGCTTGGATAGATTTTAATTTAATTTTAATCCCAAAATATTTAGGTTCGGATTATCATAAATATGTTGATTTATTTATGATCATTTTAGATGTATTAAGTGTATTTTAATATTATTTCCTATTATAGCAATTGAATTATAATTGTATTTTAAAAGTCGATAACTTTTGTATTTCTTATCGGTTTTATATATATAATATATCAAATTAATCGTCTTTTGATAAACTTCAATATAACATCCATTTTGTATATATAAAATAAATAAATCATATTTATGTTTATAATAATAATAAAATTATTTATTAAATTTAATTAAAAAATAAAGTTATTTATCAATTAATATATTTATGTTTAATGTAGTTATATATTATAAGTTAGAAACATTATCATAATATGACACAGGTAAGTCGCACAACTAACAAGTGTCATATTAAAATATATAATAATATTAGTTTTAGAAAAACTATTTTAACTTTCAACCACTTTTTTCTCAATAATTTTAAATTTTAAAAAAAAATAACAAGCACCCGTGTAATACACTGGTGTTGTAGTAGTTTATGTTATATTACAGTAATAATTAACAATAGTTTTTGAACTTTTTGCTTCAGTTTAGGCTTTGTATTTTAAAGCCCAGAAGCCCAATCCCGGCCCAAAAAAGTTAAAAAACTAAACCATTATCTATTACACATTTATTTGACTCAAAGGTATAAGTCAAGTGTGAAGGCAATCAGACATTAAGATTTTAAGTGAATCATACGAGTATGTTTGTTTTTAACTTTAATGTATGTTGATCGTTTGTTTTAATGGAATCGGTGTTTATTTGAGTATTTTTTTTCCGTATTGTCCCGATCTCGATTGATACCGACCTGTTTGGGACGGTGTCTCGTCCCAAACCGTTGACGGACCGTTTCATAAAAACGGGACAAGGAATTGGTGCCCACCCACTTTCAATTTTCATCATTAACTTTTTTGGTTATAATTTTATTTTACACTGAAGAAAACTTTATGTTTAATTCTGGTAATCGAATCAAACCGAATCGGACCCCTCGAGTATGATCCTATAACTCATCAACTCATCAACTCATCAAGAAAACAAATACTGATAATACATGCATGGAAAAACAAACGGATAGCTCTCAAGTTCTCATATACAGACACTTAGATTACAAAACATAAGATCATATAAGAGTTAGAGTACACATAGTTTCATTACTTAAACTATGTCTCATGTGGAAGCTACATGAAAACTACCTTAACCATAGGAAATACTAAGACGTATGAGCTTCAACCAACGAGCAAAATAACACATCACAAAATGCTCCTTGTGAACTTTCTTGTGGATCTTTTGCAAGTTCGAAGGAGCAACCCGATTCCAATTTCAACTCCAAGACAAATATCGAACCCTATCTTTATTCCCACTCGTACCCCTTCATTGAAGTACGATAAGTCTCTATCTTCATTATCTTTCGGGTACTTGCTTGGGAATGAATAATTGCCTTCTTCGTCTAGTTTGCACATCGAGTAATCACTCTGTGCTATATGCAGAGTTTTCTAAAGTAGAAAAAATCTTCATGCATTTTGCATGATAAAATCAATCCAAAGTCCAAACTTCATTCAACAATTAACTCAACGGTAGTGTAGTGCCATTAAATTAAATGAGTCTGGCTCGACTCGAATCGTTAAGGCTCGAGTTTAGCTTAGCATGTATGATAAACGAACCGAGTTCTAGCTCATTTAAAACTCGTTTGGTTAACAGCTCGGCTTTATAAGGCTAGTTAAGGCTCGAAAAGATAATTTTATTAAAATTTTCTATAGTTTGCTCGTTAAAACTCAAGATAAACTTGTTAAGGCTCAAACTCTACTTGTTATTAGTGATAAACGAGCCTATCTCGAGCTCGATTTTTGGCTCGTTTATTTAACGAGCTCGAGCACCCTAAACTCGAGCTCGGCTCAGCTCGTTTAAAGGAAAAAAAAACTAAAATGTTACCGACATCATGAGGCTCGACGACCAAGATTTGCCACCTCATATTTTTGTATACACTCGAGTCATGTACTACCCTTCCTCATTTGCCTCATCCTATAACCGAGCTCCAAATTTTTGCTCAACGATATCGGGCTGCCCAAGAAGCTACCTGCCGTGTAAACCTCCATAGTTTGGGAGATCCCCATCGTGGTACGTGGGGACGTGGTATAGAGTGAGTGATTTGGCGGCAGAGCTGTGATTTTTCACGGCTCGTGTGGTGAGCATGATGTAGAAGAGCCAATGACTGTTTTTACGATAGCAGTACAATTTGACAACCTTCAAACAATAGCCAAAACGGGCTACAATACACTACTATTTATAGATAGACATAGCCTTTTTTCGGTTCTGGGCCTATTTTGAGAGAATCGGAGTCGCCCCAATATATATTGGGCCAATTTTGGGTCGAACAATAAATAAAAATAAAAAAAAATAATAAAAATTTGAAAAAAAAAAAAATCATCGAACCGCCAGTTTTAGTTCCGAAACGGCACCAATTATCCAAATCGTGAGAAATCATGAACCTGAACAGGCCCGAATAAAACCATGGGTCGGTTCAAGGCCTGTCAGTGAAGATGTCTCTATTTATAGAACAATTTATGGGCCGGGTTGGAAAAACACTATCTTCGCCTTGAGCATCTAAACACGACTTTCTAACGTGGACGACCAAGGACCATAAAACGTTTTTTGTAGTTCCAATTTCAATTTACAAACTCAGCTGCTGCGGGGAGCTCACCGCCTCTGCAACTGCGAAGATCGAAAATGGCTGCCATCTTAGCACGGGACAATGAAATCTCCTTCGCCATCGAGCATGGAATTAGATAAATGAGAGTCATCTTTGATCACCAATCCAAGATGTCGAATTTTTGTGGCAAAACTGGTTCACGAAAAATCGGAAGTATGAAATTCGTCGTAAGGTAGTGATCAAGCTCACTGTATCTAGTCCCCTTTGCCTTTTGAATCTTAGCATTTTGTAGGGATTAAATGTTGGGTTCGATATACCCGTACGGAACAAATAACGCAGCGGAATTTAAAAATT